GTGGGTTATCTAGGTGGTAATTGTATTTAAATGGAGTTTCAGTTGTGGAGGTATAAAAGCCGAAGTAATTTGTGGGGTTGTCACTAGGTGGTCAGAAGTTTGGAAATAAATAAGAGCCGCTGCTTAACCTCAGGTCGGAACCAAGCCCAATATATTTATATTGAAAAAAATCCAGACAACCAATGCGTTAGAAAGAATGGTGGTCCTAAAGACTTCGCATTTCAGTTACTTTGACAAGGATGTTAGACAAGGCCTTTGAAAATCTATTGACTGCATGCCAGTTCGTTAGATACAACTGCACACAAACAGGGAAACATGTGGGTATTAAAATAGAACTGCATGATTTAAACAAAGTTGATTTAAAAACATTTCTCCGCTGAGTATCTAGCTCACCTTCAGACTGTCGAAGAAAGACGGGGAACACAAATAATGATCAACGCGTCTCTTGAAGTGTTGCAGGGGCATCGCCTCCACAACTTTTTGGAAGAGATCTGTCTATTTCTCCACTACCCTTTGTGTAAAAAAATCAGAGCGAAGTTTCAGCCTGGACAGTTTGGTGCGTGGCTCCACGGAGTGGCCACAAAGATTGGGCAAGAGTTGCTACTAAAACATGTCTTCAAAGCTCAGTTCACGTTGAAGGCCATGTATTATCTTGTGAACAAGGATAAGATCATCTCTTTGCTTCCTGTAACACAGAGGGAATAAATTAAGGTAGTTCAGTTTTTCCGCGTAAGATCAGTTTTTTAAACACTTTATCAGCTTCGTTGCACGGCATTGTACTTTTACGAGGCATGTTTGGTCCTTTGCTATCCATGGCCGCCACGCTTGTATGTCCTATCCCAGATGAGGCCGAGCAAAGTTGCCGTAAACTCCCAAAATAGGTCTTTTTCAAAGGTTACAAACGTCGTTCAGATCGCATTAAATACTCCCCTAGCGTTTTTTGTGCCTTGGTGCGCTACAGTGCTGGTTTCATTTTGCTCTGTATCCAAACACCAAGATCCGTCTGTGAGACTCCTGCGGGAAGAGCAGTGTCTTTCAGGTGCTATGCCCTTGTGCTCTACTTTGAACGACGGTTGGCTGGACGCAGATTAGGTACGGCACACTTCAGAGCATTGAACTCCAGAAGCCATTTCTCGGACCACAATTGCAGTTGGCACAGGTTTTTTAAAACATTTTCTAGTGATTTTACGCACTTAATGACTTGCCAGAGCTCAACACTGTCGGCAAACATTGTTTTACTGCAGGCGAGGTGTTGAAGCCTGTCAACAACATAAAAAGATGAAGAGTCAGAATCCGAGAACTGAGCCTTGAGGCAGACCATTAGTCATGTTCACCTAGTCTGATATGTCATCTCCGATACACACACGCTGCTTCGACCAACAAGAAACGGCCTTATCCAGCTCAGAAGATCTCCCGGATGCCGAGGGTGCTCAGTTTATACGGAGGGCGTCGGTGCGGGACAGTGTCGAATGTTATGCGGAAATTGATGTACACGACATCGACCTCAAAACTCTCTTCCTAAGCTCTGGTCCAGATTTCAGAGACAGGAACGTCTTCTCCGATAGCCATGTTGAAAATCCTGTTATTTTCTTCACAAAATGGCTGTATACCACTGTTCCATCGTCTTTCATGAGAGACAAGTTAGGCTAATGGGCCCGAAGCTGCTTGCTGCCATCCTGCTACCTCCCTTATCTAAGGGAACGGGGTTGACTGTCTTCCGCTGCGAGGGCATTCTCACCTGTTCTTAGCGACAGATCAAAGAGATTTGAAAGAGGCTTTTACTGCTCCGTTGATAGATCCTTAGATATACATCCGGAAATCCCGTAGAATTTAGGAGACTTGCCTGGCCTAATCCGACCGAGGACGCGTTTTACTACTTCGGCGAAAAAGGCAGCGGCTTCAATGACGAGAGAATCCTGGCTCATCTGAAACTCCCGACTGTCTTGGCCCATTTTAAATTCCTGATTGTATTCAGAGGACTCCACCGTAAAAATCGATTGGAAAACTGACACAACAAGAATCTGGGATTCGCATATTCGCATCCATCCGTCAGACAGTAATCTTCCTTTCCGTGGCCTTTCGACTAGTAAGCTTCCAAGGCTATCCTTTAGACAGGCAATTTAGTTCCTGTGTTTTCTTCTACTGGGGATGTACCCATAAAACGTCTTGGGGCATAAAATGGATTCTGCTGTCAGTCGGCGCTCGAAAGACGTTCTAGCATTCTGTAATTGTTTGTGATATTTATAACATTGCTCCCAATATTCGGAGAATGTTATGCAATCTTAAGGGTATAAGTACTTTTCACAGCCTCTGTTTCTTCTCCACTATCTTTTTTCATCGGAGGGACCCGCAGCGGTCAAGTAAATGGTCCCGTAATTTACACAGAGCGATGGGATTCAACCAGGCCTCCTACGATCCCCGAAAGTTATGTCAGAAATCTAGTGAACTGTACATGTTGACTGATCAGGGTTCCTGTAGGACGGCACGCCTCATTGCTTACTTGCTCGTCATAGAGAAGGCCGTTTAAATAACTCGTTGAAAACCAGAAAACGGTCAAATTCAGTGTGAGTGTAGGCACCTCCCATTAATTCCAACTTTCCAACATTCCCCATTTTCTTGAGCATGCCAAAGATTCGTACATGCTGTTGTGTGATGTAGAACTGTTCCCCCACAACGAGCCCCGCTGCATATGCGTTAAGCCTAAGCGAGGGTCAAGATTGTATAACACAAGTATTAATCGGGTCGCACGGCCTTTACGCTACTACTGCCGCACATGGCTTCAAGCGACACCAACCACTGCACCCAAACCCAGTACCAGATAGTTAAAATGCTCCAACGTTCTGCTGGAGAATGAGCAGGGAAGGAGATTTTAAGACTGACCCTAGCGAATCCATCTCCATGACGCATCAGGTTGTTACTTACTATGGCAAATTTCACGCTTTTTGGCTTGGAAAACTACCAACTGGATGGGCACTCTGGCCTTCTCAGGACTTCGACTCACGCTTAACGGCACTTTATTTATGTTAATTATATGATATTCTTACGCGTGTGGTGTCCTCGTGAAAGCGGGGGACGGGTTTCATGGAGCGTGTGGACGATGGAAGTGGGAGTCTGTCGGTTGAAACTAACTTCGAAGTTTATCCGTTCGTTTCCAACGAACCGCACTGCTCTCTGGACTCATTCGTAATTCCAAATAGTCTGCGATGTCCCGTTGGTATAATCTGTACTATATTATCTCTATAAAAACTTGCACAGTTTACTAGGTATTCCTCCGTCGGTGTTCAAACTTTTAGGTCCTTGAAATGATGCGTACGTTGACTCCAAGCATTGGGTTTATTTTTCTTTCTCATGCCAATCTGCCGGTCCCTCTTATTCGCATTATCGTTTTCTTGTTTTACTGGTCGCTGCTATTATGTGGTCGCAGTCATCTTCTTTCATGTCCTTCCCGGAGTTTTTGCTTGAGCTTTTACAGCCTTTAACCTTTGGCTCTTCTCCATCCGACTGTATTGCTTTACGTCCATGATGCTTCAAGCGCTCCCCTTCTAATCGAAAGGTTGATTTTGCTCTATTTACGCATGTTATTCCGCAGCAGGCGAACTAAGATTCGTTTTCTGGGCCCCAGAACCACCTGCCCTTCGACAAATCCGAGCAACTTTGTAGCACCTTACATCCAGGATCATTTTGTTTGTAAGGGCACCTAGCGCCCTGTTCGTGTTTCTCCTGAGGGAGGATGGCTGAGTACTTGGCCTCAATCTTCGGCACAGAGAAGGATAAGTATGCCTTATTTCTTTGTCTATGCACCTTAAAGAGTTAACTGCTCTTTTTACTTCAAAATCGGTGCCTGCCGTCATGGGGAGCAGTGTTCTCGTCTGCATAATAAACCAACTTTTAGTCAGGCAGGTTCACCTTTTCCAGTTTTAAGTTTTCAGACAATACTCCTTCAGAATCTCTATATAGCTCCGCACAGCTCAGGCCAACCGGTAGGAATTTATCTGTCGTTATTTTTCTAGAATGCAGTCGCGAATATGACTGAGGTTCAGGCGCAGCAGTTGTTCGACGAGTTTTTCGAGGAAGTATTTGTTGAGTGCGAAGAGAAAGTAAACTTCCGAAGTTCTCATATTTTTCCCGCTTACAGTACGGTGAAATCGAGGAAATGAATGTTTGTGACAACCTTGGCGATCATCTTGTGGGTAACGTTTATATCAAGGTATGTCACTTCTCTCTCACCGTCTGGCGCAGTTTCGTCGTGAAGAAGATGCAGAGAAGGCGGTAAAGATGCTCAACTGCAGGTGGTTTGGTGGTCGACCTATTCACGCAGAGTTGTCGCCGGTTACCGATTTCCGAGAAGCATGCTGTCGTCAGTATGAAGTGGGGTTCGTGCAATTATCCTTGTAAACGTGTTATTTGCCTCTAGCACAACTTCTTTGGTATTCGATCGACAGGCCACATCTCTTTAAAAAGGGCTCTTTCTTCTGTTAACATATCTGCTTTCCTCTTTGTAGTATGTTTAATTTTCGTGTAACTTAAGTAGCCACAATTTCAACTGTCGTCGGTCAGGAGCGGCCGGCGTTCTTTTCATTATCGCAAGCGAGACAGCTCGTAAGTTGTAGTCCGTTAACTACACTTGCACTGGATAGGATATGCCGGTTCCCATTCTCTGTAAGTGCATCATTGCCTCCCGACGGCATGGTTGATTGTCTCGCGCAGCTCTATCTGCTTATACAATCAGCTATTTAGCAACAGGTTCGCTGTAAAGAAAGAGAAAACCTCATTTCGTCTCTGATGGGTTTTATGGTCTTGCAGCGTTTAGCTGGTCTTTTTGACGCTCCCGACTGGCTAATGAGCCCATCCAATACCAATCCACCAGCCCTTGGTCTTGCAGTGAGTCCACGTGGTTTATTGCTCTTTTACTTTTGTCCTTTCACCTAAACGACCATGTCAGTTAATTTCGGTTTACGATCACCGGGGTTCTATTCCTCTGGATCATGATCGTCTGCTAAGAGGCTGTTACTGTCTCTCCAGAAGCATTGTGTGCGTCAGTTTGTGCCAGGTGATACGCTCCCCAGTCTATGTCCTTGGTCTGCACCTAATATTCTTGAAAAACGAGCCCTGCTCGCCAGCCCGTCCCCCTCCTAAACTCTGCAAGCGACCGCTATGCCGTACCGTCGAGCAGGCTTGCATTATCTTTATGAACTCGTAACACCCTTGTTTACAATCCGGGTCTTTCCACCGCTGGCGCAGCACCGAACAGATCGCACAGGGTGGGGCTTCAGATCTCGCCAAGATAGTATCTGTACAATAATGGTGAGTATTTTGGCCTTCACAAGAACTGGCTCGGTCGGCTTCTATGTTACTCCTTCCGTAAATTAGGTTTGTCAGAGTGGTGAACGATCAAGGGGATATGCCACGAACAAGGTATCCATTCCCACCCGGTTTTTGGCGAACTTAAGGCCACGTTGCACAAATGGTGGGTGAAACCATATTCCAGTCCTTTTTAGTATTGGTTGTCATGATGTCCATTTAATTCACACTTTGTTCCTGAACTTGTCTGATCGATGACCTTCCGTCAATGGTGAAGTCCCTGTTGCATAGTGCACTGGTATTAATCATGGAGCGCACGTAGTCTGCATTTTCAGCCAAAACTACTCCCCAGCAGCCTGGCCCGATAGAAAAAAAAATCAAAATTACAGTTAGGATGGGTACGTGCGGTCAGAATATAGGGGTATATTGAACAAATAAATCTGATTTCATCTTTCCTATGTTGGTACCCGAGGACGTTGAGGAGTTTGTTAGAAAACCGCGTCAGATTTTCTGGTTTTCGTGCTTTGTCCGTCACTATTCCGACTAGGATAGGGATAGTCCACTATCCGCCAGTCGTAGGTGTCCACGCGTCTCAGTTGTCGAGTACAGTCACAGCTCCTAAGACGCCCTTAACTTCACAAACATTCGCTCCACCTTCAAGAATACGCCGTAGCTATGTTACTTCTTTCGGTCGTCGCCACCTACGTTTGATCACCAGCCCATGAAGTAGTTGAG